CCATGACCTGTCCCCACTCCAACTTCGATGGAAGGTCCTACTCCGTCCGTCCTACGATTTTTTCAAGGAACAGGGCACCCGAGTGATTTGGAGGAACGGCTACCAGCTCATGGCCCACACTCACGGAACCTGGGAGGAGTACCTTCCTTGCGAGATACTGGCGTCTGGAGTCCGAGGATATTACTGACTGAGATTTCCTGATTGATTCTGGTTTTGCTTTTGGCTCATTTACTTTTTGTTTTTCCTTACATGGTCTATCTTTTGGACACGGTGGAATGCTCGGATCTTGATGGCGAGCCGGGTTTGGACATCCCTTTTTCTCTATTTTCATGGGAACTTACTTCTCTGAACAGACATATGGACATGTTGTTGTATTTGCCATGGGTCCCGGGGCTCCCTCCTGCATAGCCTCACGGTTAGTTGGGGTTGAATAGGGGGATACAAAGCCTCGTTGTTGTAATGGAATTTCACAACAACAACAACAACAACAACAACAACAACAACAACAACAACAACAACAACAACAACAACAACAACAACAACAACAACAACAACAACAACAACAACAACAACAACAACAACAACAACAACAACAACAACAACTACAACAACAACAACAACAACAACAACAACAACAACAACAACAACAACAACAACAACAACAACAACAGCAACAACAACAACAACAACAACAACAACAACAACAACAACAACAACAACAACAACAACAACAACAACAACACCAACAACAACAACAACAACAACAACAACAACAACAACAACAACAACAACAACAACAACAACAACAACAACAACAACAACAACAACAACAACAACAACAACAACAACAACAACAACAACAACAACAACAACAACAACAACAACAACAACACCAACAACAACAACAACAACAACAACAACAACAACAACAACAACAACAACAACAACAACAACAACAACAACAACAACAACAACAACAACAACAACAACAACAACAACAACAACAACAAGCAAGCAAGCAAGCATGGAACCAGTGCTTCCCACCCCCACACTGCCCAGCGACCAACCACACAGCCACCAATAATGGCGGCCATCACTCATTGAGCGGCCGGGAGAGGGGGGCAGGCTGGCATGCATGGTGGCAAACGCAACAACACCAAAAGCAAGCATGGAACTGGTGCTTCCCACCCCTACACTGCCCAACGACCTACCTTTCTAGCCAATGATGGTGGCTGCTGCACACCGTGCACTGGATCAGTGAGGGTTGGACAATGAGGGGTCGATGGTCGAGTGAGAGACATTTATGGTGCAAGACAAAGAAGCAATTCAATTTCAAGTATTGAACTACTCACTTGGTTGTTTTGTTGTCCTCGCCTCTTGCACCTCCGGTGTGGCCTCTGCCCCTCCTGTGCCTTCGGGTTCCACTAACACAAACTTGTGTTGCGTGTATGGAGATTGAACTCAGTGATGGTGGGGGAATGACCAGCACATGTTCGACTCACCCCACCCCCTTGAGTTATCGCCCAAGCCCCACAACACCCACAGCATGCCGCAAAACCGCCCCAAAATCTTGCGCTAATCCGCAACACTCACAAAGCGGAGCAAAATCTCAAACCTGCGTAGGTTGTCTCGGTGGTGGCTCTGACTTGTCCGCATGCAGTCACGGTGGCTGTAGTAGAGGTGGCCACTCAAAGATGCCATCCGGTCCGTTAAATCCGGTTCGTTAATTTTTATCAGCTGTCCGTTAAATTTCGTTAAAGAAAAAGGGAGAAAAATTCAGAAAAAACGAAAAAAATCCAAAAAGATCAAAAAAAACCCCAAAAAATCACAACAACTGCGGCTAGTTGAAAATCTAGTATGCATAGGTTGAAATAAAATATAAACATACTCTCTAATAGCGAATTCCATAAACTATAAGTATGACTAAAACCCAAAAATCCCCAAAAAATCCAAAAATCCGTTAATTTTTGGTTAATTTTTGTCTTTTTTCGTTATTTTCCGTTAATTAACGGAAAATTAACGGAAATTAATCTCTGTCCGCTATTAACGGATCCGGGTGGCCACCTCTAGGCTGTAGCGCTTGCTTTCGATATGGTGTGCCACGTCCGGGGCAGCACCAGCGCGGGTTTGCATGAGGGTTACTTGCAATAGGGCGCAGAAGGATAGCGGCCCCAATTTTTTGGGGGTAATCCTATGATGGTCATGATGTGTCTATTATCTTGTAGTAAAAAACGGCTAGTCCATTATGGGAGCATGACATGCATGATGGCAGAGCAAATTTTGTGGTGGCAGAGGATTGCCGGAGTAGTTTTTTGTGACGTGGATGGGTGTGTGGATATGCCGGGAGAGGTTTGCCATGATTTGAGTTCAAGTACTAGGATTTCATATGAATCCGGGGAAAGGTCGGTGCACGCAACACCGCTAAATGCCGATGCTGGAAGATTCGCTGGTCGCCACTTTGCACTCAGACATTCATGTTGTAAGATGCCGGTTCATCACTACATTGTGCCACGGAGCGCTGTTGGTGGTTAGAGGCCTCCGTGCCGGAAGATGCCGGTTCTCCATTAGACTGCGCCGTCGGATGCTGGTGGCACTCAACGCTCGCTGGCCAATGCCATTGGGTGGTGTGATTTTGCCATTCCAATGGCAAATTCACTTACTTAGTAAGCCTATTACTAAGTAAGCCGTCAGCGGCAGTATCCGCGGCAGTATCCGCTGCCGTTTACGCTAACGGCAACTTGCGGCATTGGGGCCGTGCCACGGTTGCCATTAAATAATGGCATGCACCGCCGACCTCTAGTCTAGTCTGCCCTCTAGCATGGGCAACCCTCTTAAATAGCCAGCGACGGGCAACAACCTGCCTCACTCGCTCCCAACGTGATTCCACATGAAAGCGTTCGGAAACTCTTCGGGAAATTGGTCCAAAACTCCCCTGAGAACTGCTCAATAGCCCGCCTTGTGAAATCGAAGTTCGACCACTGTTTCGACCTCCCATGCACACCCTCTTGGTCTGAAATCTCACAGCACATGACACGCCCCCCTCTCAGTCCGTCCGGATTGCAAATTCACACGTTCCAAGGTGCGAATCCAGACTGAAATCTACACAAAGTCGCTGCAAAACTCAAACCGCGAATTCAAGAGCTGCGCCTGAGGTCGCAGAACTCCAAGAGGCCACAGAACTCATAGGAGGGCAGCGGGGTGGTATGGCATCTGCATGGCGCAACCTTCCACATCCCAACTTCTTCATCGTACACCTCAACGGTTAATGATAATCTGGGCAAATTTTGTTAGCGTTTCCCCAATATTCTGGGTACTTTGCTGCGTATTCTTTCTCCTTTTTTTGTTTTCCCTTTCAGTATGGTGGGCCCTATATTCTAACGGTCTTTTTGACCTTTTTTTTGCTCACTTTTGATGGCCTTGCATTGCAAAGATGACTTGTGAAACGAGTCATTTTGCAGGCACATCGAACAATCTCCTTTCCATTCTGGCTGCATTCTGTGAAATATCTGCAGCGTTTCTCCAAGGCTTTCGACCTCTCATCATCTGCTATCTCACATCTCTATGGTGCTGCTTTGGGACTTTTCTACATGGTCCTTGAGGCCATAAAATGCCCTTTTTAAACTACGAGCAGCATTTCTATGTGGACTTTGAGTGTTTTCCCATATCTCCTTTTCACTCTCTTCCTCTTGATGCCAAGCAAAGGGCTGGCCATGCTTACAAAATAACAACTAGTGTTGCATGGATATATCAGCGTGCATTTCGCTTTTTTGCAATGCTGGGCGGCTGTCCATGTCAAGCTGACTGGTCTATGATGTAGCGAAACCCAGTCAGCCGCCTTTTGTCGGTCATGAGCCCGTCATTGAGTGACGTGGCCCAATGACTAACAGCAAATTTAACACGACAACATCGAAACTACAGGATTGTTACACTGGATGGTCGAGTGCAAACTGGCATGAAAAGCACCGCATTTTAGTGATGCAAGCTTTGGCAACGTTCCACATTCGTTTCTCCATGCGTGGCCTGGGCACCATGCACATGTGGCGCCCACCTGCGTCCATTTGACCACATGGTGGACCACAGCCCTACCCGCAGGCACCTTTCATGCAGTAATTTCCATTCCTCTAGCCATGTGGCGATTCCACTCATGCACATGGCCCATTGCAGCACATACAAAGACTGGCCTATGCAAGAAAACGCTTGCATGCTGGGGATGTACAATCTTCCGGCCTCCCAAAGTCACACGATTCAGCCACATTAATTACAAAAAGTGTCACTAGCGAAAGGAGAATCAAACTCTGGGGACTGACACAATCTCCTGGCGCTGTGGGCATTAAGCCGATTAATGTTTTTCGTCACCCCTTGTGGCCTAGCCAGCTTATCTCAGCAGCCCTCACTCTGATCATTGAAGGAAAGCTGCTCAGCACAAACAAACGCACTTCACCTGATGCTGGTAAAGAAATCCTGGCATCCACACTCTAGGCATCCAGCGTGATGCGGCTCGCTTGCAGCCCATCATCTAATTGTTTGAACACCAATGGAAGCCCCAGACGAGTGCCGTGCAGCCCCTGTTGCTCATTCACACAACTGTGTTCTACTTCGCAGATCCTGGTGTGTGCAGAGTCTGCCACACTTAGCACCAAGCCGCAGCAGAAGCTCACAAAATTAATGTACAATGCATCGGAAACAAAACAAAGAGCATGTATGCACATCGGGCACAGCCCGCAGACCCTTATTCCCAGCCACGTTCGTTGAAAAAAACGCGAATACACAACTGGGGAAGGCGGCACATTTCCTGTCCACCACAACAATCCCAGGGTCTATCAATTCTTGACCAGCTGCCTTCAGGAGCGGCTGGGAGTGACCCATCCCTGCACAATTTCCCCACCTAGTCAATGGGTAAGGGCTCGAGTTGACAGACAACCTGCCGCCGGGTGGGCCGTGCAAAGGGCCCAAGCCATCAACCCTCAATCCATGCGTGTCTTCGGCGGCTCATTCGAGCCTCAGCCCGAGGCACCCACGTATAGGCTCCCAGCCTTCCCGCCAAGCTCGATTTCCCTCTCAGCCATCCTCTGCTCCTGGATGTCCAGCAGCTTTCTGCCAGCCATCTCCATCATCTTGAAGAAGATGGCCCCCGCGAGGAGGATGGCGCCAGAGGTGAGAGTCAGGTGGGCGGGGTCGTCGTTATCCTTCTTGCCGCCGTCGTCCGCGTGCAGCCAGGGCTTGACGACGATGAGCGCCAGGACCAGCTGGGCGGTGTCCGTGACGTACACAAAGCCAGCCAGGACCAGCCTGTGGAAGTGGGAGCCCACCAGGGAGCCCAGGGGCGCGCCGATCACCACGATGGGCACGCACACAGCGAAGAAGCCCCAGGCGTCCTCCTGCACGCCGCCCATGGCGAACTCGCGGTAGGCGAAGCCCACGCAGGTGTTGATGGCCATGAGGATGACGGAGGTCGGCGTGGCTATCTTCTCGGACACCCGGAAGAGGAGGGTGAGCGCGGAGAAGGAGCAGATGTCGATTCCGCTGCCCGCCATGGCAGAGAAGATGCCCCCCATGAAGCCGAACCCTAGGAGCACCAGTGCCTTCCATTTTATTTGCCACCCAAAGACCCCGATGACGTCCCTGTCGAAGTCGGGCACCTCGTCGAAGACGGGACGGCCGTAGTTCCGGTTCAGCCAATACAGGGAGAAGGCGAACGCAAACCAGATCACCACAAAGTACATTTTGGAGTAGCTGGGCGTCAGCCGGGGCGCCACCTCCTCCAGCCCAAATATAATTCCCGCCGTCCCGCCCACGGTGCAATAAAACAGCGAGTGCAGCTCGATCTTGACCCGCATGAACAGGATGGTGAACGCCGCCGAGGTCATTCCCACGGACTGGATCATGAACGAGAAGTCCCGCGCCACGGCGGGCAGGATCGAGAACACGAGCGTCATGACGGGGAAGGCCACACTGGCGCCGCCCTCGCTCGTCGCGCCCGCGATCATCGACCCGAACAGCATGGTAATGCTCATGTAGTACCGCGGAATGTCCTGCCCGCCGGACCGCTCCCCGAACAGGTGGAACAGGTCCTGGCTGCCCATCCACGACCACCACAGCACATGGAAGAACAGTCCCGGCAGCACGAATCCAATCAGCCGCCGGTGCCGCTGCCACCACGCCCCATCCGCCCCCTCTAGCGGCTCCACCGTCTTGGCCCCATCCTGCAGATGCTGGCCCTCCCAGAAGTACTTTTTCACGAACTTCCCCGACCGGGACAGCAGGGAACACTCCGGGCCGTTCCCCCCCGCGCAGAGCTTCGCACCCCTTCCCGAGGCCGCGCCGGCGTCGCCGGCGGCCTTGGGATCGAGCCCGGCGCCCATCTTTTGTTCGCTGGCTATTTGTTTCGGCGGGCGGGCCGGTTGGAGGCGGCTAGGGGTTGGGGCGGCAACGTGCGGCGCTGGACGCTGGGAGGCGTCGTATCGTCGCCTGGACCCAAATGGGCCGGGGGGCCGCCAGCGCCGCAGTGGGGCTGACGGGAGCGCGTTAGTGTGTGGCGAAGAGTGAGAGGCGCAACAAGAGGAGGGGCTAAATGGGGGGGTAAATGGGCCATTAGGCGGGCCGGCGTGACGTGGGGGGCGCGGTGGGGCGAAGTGTGGAAGGCGCAACGAGAGTCAAATAGGGGGTGCACAACGAGGGTTTGGGCACAACGGGGGTTTAATCAGCGGCAGGATTGCGTGGGCACCCAATTAGGGTCCCCTCCAGGCATAAGTTAAATCCGACCCGACCTTTCCCATTTACATTGGCAGTGCCCGCATAATGGCCCGATACGGTGGGCATGTGTACAGTCGCCAGCCAGGCCCACGTGCAAAAGCCTAAGTCGCTAGTGCCCAACGTCCAGCGGCCACCTGGGGGGGAGTTCCTTGTGGGGTGAGGACTGCAACCTCGCATCCCTCGACGGGTCCGTCCCGGCTCAGGAACGGGCCCATTCCTGACATGGAACGGCCCCGTCCTTGTCCGTTCAGGTCCGTTCCTGTCCGTTCCCCAGGAATGGACCATGCGAATTGGAGGTCTTAAAAGTTTGGGAGGGCACTGGCGGACCAGTGCAAGTTGCGGAGGCATTCATAGGGCCGGATTCAGGGCCAAGAGGCACATTTCCACAGGGACACCTGACTTGCAGCAAAGGCAACATGCACATTACCCAATGTACAAGCTGGACATATAGCCAAAATTAAAACAAGTCACACACTGAGCCATGGGCCAATTCGAGGTAAGCCAATAGAACCCGGAAAATTACAACTTGCAATTTACAAGTCGGTGTTGCCGGACAAAAACATCAGCTGCTCAATGCGTTCGTCCCCCAGAGATGCCCGCCGAGATCGCACAGTATGGCCGGATACCGAGAAGCCCCATTCTGACGAACCACTTCCGGCCGGCACACACAATGAGTGCCGGGCCACCCACGCCACTATGGGCCATCGAGCACTATTCCGTGCCCAATAATCTAGTGCATCCTCCGCTCGTGGGGTACCCGGCTCACACAAACTCCAACGTTCCGTTAAGAACTCCTGAACGTGTCGTGCGATCAACCGCTGTGTGGCATCCGTCAGTTCGCCGCCCGCTGTACCGCCCGCTGCACCGCCCGCAGGTTGGCTAGGCCCCGCGGCACCGCTTGCCCTTGGGCCCCGTTGCCATGTTGCATCATAATCCTCCTCAGAGCTAGTGTCAAATGTCTTATGCCCCATGCGCTTCTCCCTCGGCTTGCGCACGGGCCGCTGTCCAGGATGGGGTGGCAGGCCTGCTTGCCCCGATGCCTCTGACCACCCAATGTCCTTCGCGAATTTGAGACACAACTCCAGCAGCTCAGCCGACATGTCCTCCATCACGGCATCCACCAACACGAACTTCTCCCTGATGGGTTCCAGTACCTTTATGTAGGACCCCAGGGTAGCCTTCCAGGCGTACACTGCACACACACCATGCAATTCATCAGCACTGCTTCTGACCTTTTATATGTGTTTTTCAATATGTGAACGACACCACAGTGAGAAACAATACACAACACCACCAACAACATCACTGAGTGATTAGCAATGATCGCTCACCGGTGGGGTCCATCAAAGCCAAAAAGGCCATTTGCCAGACCCACGTGGAGTCGCTGAGGGCCTCTTCCAGCTTCCACAGCATGTCATTGCTGATACGAAAAGTCTGTGGGTGTGGGGCGCCTGCCCTCTTTGAGCCGCGGACCCGCCTCGCCGGGCACCTAGGTCCTTACGGGGACCTAGGCGGGACCACCCCTCCTACTCCCATATCCTTATAAGTATAAGGGTTACCGTAGGACAAGGAATACAATACGATCTTGGGTAGGGCGTCCCCCACACCAAGGGCCAATAGTAGGGCGTCCCCCACATCAGGCCGGTGCACGTAACATTCGTCCCCCTCAGGGAGGTGGGGCGTCCTCGTCCCAATGTATATGGATATGGGAGCAGAAACATTATGTATGTGGGAATAGAACTGGCTATGCGATTTGCCACATGCCCTGTTGGCGTGGTAACCACACATACATTATGTAAACTATGGTGAAGAGAAAGAGTGGTTGTTTTTACATGACCTCCCGGTCTTCACAACCCTCATTAAAACTCTTCCTCAGCCACATGGCTGGAATGTTCGACCTCCCGGCCTGTCATCTGCGACCCCGAGAATGGGAACCACCAAATGCCCATGCCGGTGGGCGTCGGCTCGGTGCGGGACCTCGTCCTCGCCCGCGGCCACGCACACGCCCAGCTCCTCGAGAGGCTGGCACGAGCGGTTCATCAATGTCTAGTCTTTCTCCGTTCAAGATCGCAACGGACATGGCGTTCATGTGTCCAAATTGCGTCTTGGCACGGGGAGCGGTGTACCCAGTGTTCTTCTGGGCCCATCTCAGGAGAACCTGTCAAAGCATAGTCACACATGAGCATGTTTTAGTATGTACATCCCGTACTTTCACGCAGTTTGCATTTACATCACAGGGGTTCTGCCATTTTCAAATGCTTGAACCAGTTCCTGTGCATTTGCAACTGACTTTGCTGATTCCCAGCTGTTATGCTCATGTCCATATCCCAGCCATTTGACAAGGTACTCAACATAGTTTTTGCGTCTCCCACGCTTCTTAATCCTTTTGTCAAGAATACGTTCAACTTCATACTCCAGTTCACCTTCGATCTCGATAGGTACTGGGGGTGGCTGTACTCTGCCACTTGCCTTATATGGCTTGATTTTCGACACATGAAATATTGGATGTATCCTATGCATGCTTTCCGGGAGTTCTAGTCGATATGCGACAGAACCTATCCGGTCGAGGATGGTGAAGGGCCCAATCCACCTCGGTAATAATTTTCGAGTTCCAGGGTGCTTGAGGGTGATATGTTGTGTCGAAAGGAGGACGTCATCTCCTTTATTAAACGACACTTCCCTCCGATGGCGGTCAGCATGCTTCGACTGCCTATCTCGTGCTTTTTCCAAGCACGCCCTGGCCTCTTTCAGCGCTGTTTGGACACGGTGATCAAATCGTGTCACTGCTGGTAATCCCTCCACGAGGGGTGTACCAGACTGCCTCAAATAAGGCTGCTGTGCCCTCTCAATGGCCACTGCCAAGCCGCGGGCATTCGGATTGTCATAGCCCTTTAAAGGCTTCCGAATTTGCACACCAAGAGCTAAGGGACTCTTTGGGTGCCTCCCGTAATTCAGATAGAACGGGGTCTCTTGGGTAGAACTGTTCTTCGAGTTGTTCATCGCAAACTCGGCCATGGCTAACAGTTCATCCCACGCGTCATGGTCAGAACGCGTATAGCTGCGTAAGTAATCCTCCAGAATCCGATTCATGACTTCGGTCTGGCCATCCGTCTGTGGATGGTACGCAGTGCTCATATTGAGCTGAATCTTCCACCTCTCGGCCAGGTACCGGTAAAACCTGGAAGTGAACCGAACGTCTCTGTCGGACACTATCTGAGAGGGGAGGCCGTGGTGCCTTATCACATTCTGCACCAACAGGTCAGCTACTCCTTCTGCGGAGAGCTCGGTGGTCGTGGCTACTAAGCGGACCATTTTGGTCAGTCTATCGACGAATACGATGATAGCATCATGACCTCCTTTAGTTTTTGGCAGTTGAGTGATGAAGTCCATGGACAATTCAGTCCATGGCTCCCCAGGAATGCCCAATGGCTGTAATAAGCCTGGGGTCTTTTGACGAGGATACTTAACCTGTTGACAAACCAGGCAAGTATCAACATACAACTGTACTTCTCGTCGCATTCCTGGCCACCAGTAATGCCGCTGGACCAAGTCCAGGGTCTTGGCTTGACCAAAGTGTCCCGCACTTGGATGGTCGTGAGCCAACTGGCAGATCTCAGTCCACAGACTGGCAGGTATATATACCTGACTGCCTCGCAGCCACAACCCGTCTGTACAGCGCATCTCTTGCTGCTGTCTTAGAGACGTAAGCTGAGGATCTTTGCCATAGGCCTGACGGATCCTGGAAGCTAGATCTTTGGCCTCTACCGTCTCTCCTGCCTCTCTTTGGCTTCCCCGCTTATGCATTACTCTTAAGCCACATACAACCAGTTGACTTTTCCTCCTCGCTACTGCTCATCCGGCGATGGAGGAATACGAGAGAGTGGATCAGCCACATTCTTTCGTCCTGGGCGATATTCCCATTCAAAGTCAAACTGTTGTAAGATTTCCGACCACCTGGCCTGTCTCCGGCTCAGCTGTGGTTGTGACTTAAGGTAGGTCAATGGACAATGGTCCGTTACCAGTTTGAAGCGTGTTCCTTCAAGGTAACACCTCCACAACTGGACAGCGTGGACTGAGGCTAAAGCCTCCTGGTCTGTCACACTGTAGTTCAACTCCGCTGGGAGGAACTTCCTGCTCACGTAACAAATAGGGTGGTTGTCCTGCATCAGGACCGCCCCTACAGCAGTTTGCGAGGCATCTGCGATGACCTCGAATGGTCTCTCAGGATCTGGCATCTTGAGCAAGGGAGCTGTGGTCAAACACTCCTTTATATGCTCAAACGTCGATTGACATTTTGACGTCCACTCCCACTTGCCATTCTGTTTGGTCAAGTCCGTCAGGGGAGTCGCC